CTTGCTCCGTTCGAAACTCCATCTTTAAAAGATCCCAGTTTGGTGTAACGACGTAGATAAGTATGTCTTATGTGCACTTGTATCATAATCTTACAGTGTTGATCTCGAGGATACCATGAACAAATGTCGAATTAACAGTGTGTTACATTAAATACAACAACAGGGAGGTGCACAAGTCCGGAACTATTCTATAAAGGTGGAGGCGTGGTTTGATCACTCAACTTCCAGTCAATGGTTCCCGGGCTCGAATCTCACCCCACCTATCTCAATCTGAGAAATTGGGTAGTATTATCAGTCATCACAGGATAAGTATGGCTTGTGGCTGGGCTTGGTACTACTGGATAGGTGAATTGTAATTAATTGAGTTAGTGGAGTAACTCCATGAAAGCATTCCTAATGGCAGAAGTGGGAATTCATGGGTTGGCCATTGGATCGGATCCCAATGGCTGATTGGTCTACGAGTTAGCTCGGCTTGTAACTGGAGGGCTGTGGGTTGGAACTTTGGCAGTGGGGTGGGTATGTACTATTGAATGGTCCCAAACTAGGCGGATGAAACAGCTGTCCAGTACTCCAGTAGTGGTTTTCTAATGGTTCTTTAAGCGATGTCAGCTCATAATGAAGTCCTGTAACCATTCCTATTTCAAATAAACGTTCTTTCTGTACCATTTTCTACGCCTGTTTGTTTGTCTGATTGTCTGAATCACTGTTATCACTATCTCTTCTGGATTCTGTTTCCCTTTTAAGGTACCTGACAATCATGCTATTCGTTATACTCCTCCAGCAGAAATTGACAAATTCATCAGCCTTCTACATCCTCGTCATTACTGGTTAACTAGTAAACGTCCGCCGTCTTGGATAAAACAAAAACGTTGGGGTATTCAACTAGTCGGAGCATTTTCTGCTGATCCTATTGAATTCACTCCAGAATGGTGTAATTTATTTAAAGAGGCTGGAATACCACCGAAGCGTAAAATTTCACGTTTTCTGGTTAGTCCAGATGCTGCTTTAAAACCTGGTCAGTTTGAATAAAAAATTTGTGTTGAATTTTTTTTTTTTGACAAATCTTTACGAACTGGTTTCGATTAGTTTAACGCTTATAGTAAGATTCAGATTCAAGCTAACACTTGATTATCAAACTGGTGCTCACTAGCGACTGGCTCCAGGTGAGAAGTGGTGACCAGTAAGGGGTACAGCAGGTCAGGTGGGGGGGGACAAATACCCGCCAGCGATGACATTGGCTGGTGCCAGTCGCTCTATATGGTGGATTTGGAGAAGTTTGAATTCATGGACTAGCCATTGGATCGGTTCCCGATGGCTTAATGGTCTATGAGCTCGCCTTGTAAGCGTAAGGTCCTGAGTCCGAACCCTGGCGGTAAGTGCGCACATGTGTAGAGTCTCAGACTAGGCTGATGAAACAACTCTGGTTGTCCAGTACTCCCTGTTTTCTTTTCACAATGGTTCCCTAACCGATGTAGCTCTTCAATGATGCCACACTTGTTGTATAAAGATCGATGATACAACTCAGCAGTTATCCAGGTTGATGCACGTTGGTGGAGCAGGATTTGTACTGGATTAACGTCACATCTCTACCTCTCTTAAACACGATATTTCTGTTAAGGACACAATCAAAGGCCTTCATGAATTTGTTTCAAGTTTGACCAAGGATTGGTATCAGTCAGAGAAGCATTAAGAGACCAGCACTGGAGTTACTGCACAGCTGTTTCGTCAGCCTAGTTTGGGACTCATCACCAGTACGCACCCGTACCACAAATATACAAAACTGTTAATATGTTCTTTTTAGGATACATCCAAATTAGTTATCCTAGTAGATTTGTAAGGAGACAAATGAACACCAAGTACAAAAAGAGAAACTGACAACAGTTGAAAAGAAACAAATGTTCAGGAAATTGCAATTCAACGGGGACGTTGCTAGCAAAGTCTTACACCTGAGATTATCGAGAGCGATAAAATGGACTTATACTGCCGCCACCTTTTTTTGTCATTTTCCAGCCGACCAATTATGATTGCTCAAGTGAAAGACAAGCTACCTAGCTGTGCCACATCTATGTGTATCTATAAATTTAGTTGCTCCTGTGGAGAGAGCTATATAGGGCGAACAACTAGACAGCTTAACAAACGCATTAATGAGCATCTTCCTTCATGGTTTGGAAAAGGTCAGATAAAACCTATACGAAGTTCTACTTTGGCTCATTTGATTGATGGTGGTCACCAAGTGGACAAAAATAGTGCCTTCAAAGTTATCTATGGCATTCCATCGAGCCTTTCGAACGGAATTCGAATCCGTCTTTTACACATAGCCGAAGCTATGGGAATTCGAGAGAACAATCCTAGTCTTTGCATACAAAAGAAGTTTGTTCTACCTTTGCCTCTCTTTTGCTTGCCTAGGTGAATCCTATTCAGGACCTTCCCACTCTTTCTTATTTCCCATCTCCTTCGTATTTTTATGTTATTTATTTATAGTCTGATTATCTGTTCATTTCACCATTAGTATTACGTAACTTTTAAGATTTGACCGAATTTATTTATTGAATTGTCTACATATACATATATTACTACCTTTGTTATTCTTATCGCCACCTGCATAAACCTTATTATCAATATTTTGTTATCATTATAATCATCGTTATTAACTACGTTCAAAACATTTACCACATTATTATTATTATTATTATTATTATTATTATTATTATTATTATTATTTGATCCACAAAATCACCGTCCATTGGTTAAAAATTTTTATGAAAGTGTTGGTTGTTGATATACATAGCAACTATCGAGGAAGTGTGAACTATGTGCAAATGACTGGAAACTCAACAAAATAGCCTTAAATAAATGATGCAAATGTGTCTATTCTATATCGTTTAATAATTTATAAACATTCTCGATAATCTTAGCTTGATTCTTATCTTTCTAGTCAGCTCACGAGTGCGTGAGTCATGTGGGTGGTGGTGACTCAGTGATAGGAATGCTCACGAGTCACACAAAACGTCTGGATTCGATTTCCGGCCAACGCACTCATAAACTTCGCCTATTCACTGGACACTAGTAACTGGTATAATGTGTCTAGTCCTTTGTTTAGTGCAGACTGAATTAGAATTCAGTCAGGTTTGCAATGTGGCCAACATTCGAGGTAGCTTGGCATCAAGATGCACTTTGGATTGTTGACGTTAGATAGTTGGAGGCAGTCAGCAGGAAGCCTTGGACCTAGGTTTCGTGCTAGTTGGCACTGGTCATCAAGGCGTAACTGCAGCCGTGAAGGAACTCATGTTCGCCACATATGTGCAAAGTTTTATGTCGAAAACCGACCGACCGATCTCTGGCGTAGACAGCATATCCAGCTGACTGTCGATCAGAAGATGTTCTGTTCAGCTGTTCACTCAGTCCTCCTTTATGGCTGTGAGTGAGACATGGCCATTGAAAATGGAAGACATGGAAAGCCTGGTTAGCTGTCTTTGATCATAGTCGTCTGCATTCTATCCTCCGTGTGTGTTAGGTGATGGTATAATAGAGTGAGAAATATTGAGGTGAGGCTTCGGTCTAGTGCTGGTTGATGAGGGAAAATCAATCTACGAGGTTGTGAAGTACATGCACCGATTGAGACAAATGGTTGGGACATGTGTTACGCATGCCTCCTAGTCTAGCTATCGACCTCCTTCCTCGACAACGGACAATGTTAGCTGACTGATATAGGACGGATCAGGGGTGGAAAGACCTAGTGGTGGTCAAATGGAAACATGACTTCGTCAGTCAATGAAATCCATAAGGGTTAGTTTAAACCAACCAACCAGCCGACCACATAGGTGGGAGGGTGTAGACTGCCTAACTGTCTGGTCGGGGTCCTCGGGATGAGTGGACCAATGGCCGCGGCTGGAGATAATAGGTGATATGGCTCAGAATCGTTGTCAGTGATGGTGCAGATGCATCCACTCTCTGTGATTTGTCAAATCGAATAAGACTATTGTTCTTCCATATTACTGTTGTCTTTCGCAGAGGGGGGGGGAGCTGGCACTTATGTGCAAAGTTGTATGTTGAATCCAGTGAGTCAGTCTGGTAGTTCTCGTCTCCCCTAATAAGTATTATGTCGGTGAATAATTGGATCCCTTACAAATATTATTTTTATCATATATTATTATTATTATCTCCTTTATTTCCTAGTGGAACAGAGGGCTTTGCCCAACCTTCCCTCTCTACCGGCTTAGCGGGGCTTAGGAGTGTGTCCGTCGACTGGGGATCGAACCCCAGACCGAGTCAGGTGTAGTTGGCGAGCGTTATTCGGCACATTCAGGAAAATAGACTGCTTCTAACTACGTTCTTTTCTCTTTTGTTTTTCTGTGCGTTTAGGAACACCTTTAGGTGTGAATCATTTTCGTGTAGGTGATTACTTGGATATAACTGCAAGAACGTAAGTTTATATATATATTCACTGTTTTGATGAGGGTTTAAAACGTTTATTTTTCACAATTCACTTCATTGATGCATGCATGCATGACTTGTTTATCGATATCTGGATACATGTGAATACGTTAAGTACCAAACACAACCCAAGATGAATAAAATTCATAAGTTACGAATTTAGTTAGCTTTCCTCAAGTCAGGTAGGTAGCCAGGAATGGGGTGGTTCAAACTGATTGGTGGTTGGGCTCTCTGAGCTAGCTGTGTCGAACCGTGTACACCTCTGGTGAGCTCAGATGCAAACAAGAGGAACGCCTGTCGAGTGTCTAGACTAATTTGATTTGTTACATGACTTCATCATGAGCTGACATTGGTTAGAGAACCATTGGAAAACCTGGGAGTACTGGACAGCTGTTTCGTCAGCCTAGTTTGGGACTCTTCATCAGTACGCACCCACTGAAGTTCGAACCCAGGACCTTCTGGTTACAAGGCGAGCTCGTATACCATTAAGCCACTGGGACCCCGATCCAATGGCCAGCCCATGAATTCTAACTTCTGCCAATTCACGACATAGCGCGACCCCTAGCCAATGTCTTCGGCGAGTACTTGTCCTCACACTCGACCTGCTGCACCCTACTGGCTGACTAGCCAGCTAGCACTACTGGTTGGTGTGAGTGGCATACAACTACTCATATCTGTCAATCAGTAGTACATAGTGTTCTATATAACCCAAGATAGGCATCAAATCATTTTAATTCGTAATGTAAAAGTGAGCATTTAAGGTCATAATAAAGGTTTTGTGTATTTCTCAATGAATGATAAACAAAACGATATTGTTGTTTTTACTGACGTTTCGCTATTTAATTCTGCTAATAGCTGCCTTATCAAAGTATTATTAAACCGGAATTTACAAAATCCACTCAGTGTATATATAACAAAGAGTTAAGAGGTGAGAAAACAGACTTAGGTCAAGATAAAGGAATATATTGAAACTCGAAATAACAATGAAGATCACTAAACCAAATAACAAAGGTAATAGTACATCTGTTATGGTATCAAAATAAAGTTTACTAACTTGATCATCGTTCGTTAGTCTGCGGTCATTTTTCTTTGTCAAGTTGGTCAATTGGTAAAGGATAACAAAATCAAGTGTAGATTGTTGGATTTGATAAGTGTGTAAAATTATAAAAGCAGTGTGTTTACGTAGTGAACTTGCTTATCACATTCGTGTTGATTTTGTCACTTCATGGTAGGGGAGGGGTGTATTGTAATCAGGTCAGATTCTGTTTTAGTCCATCATTCCTATTCGGGCAATTTGGATTCCACTTGATATGAAGTGCTTCTGATGATGTGAGACGTTCTTTGTGATTTCTGAAATTTTTCTGGATTATTTCAATATTGTCAAAATCAATTTTGTGACCTGATTCTATAGCTTGTAGACCTATGGCTGGTGATTTTTCACGTTTTTCTAGTTCAAGCGGATTTCTCGGTAGTCGAACAGATGCTCACTCTACGGTGTTCATTTCTTCTGGTTTTGATTTCTCGAGTTGTTTGTCCGATTCATATAGCATCTACATTCCAAGCATTTTATTTTATAGACACAATTAGATAGAGAATCTTTAGAGATTTGGTCTTTTATATGGACAAGGTTGTTTCGTAGTGTATCTGATTTTCTGAAGAAAACTCTAATGTCGAGGTGATTGAGTACTCTTCTGATATCGTTTGATGTCTCCCCTCTATATGGAATGATGACTGCTTTCTCACCTCTTGACTCTTTGTTATACACACGCTGAGTGGATTTTGTAAATTCCGGTTTAATAATACTACTTTGATAAAGCAGCTATTAGCAGCATTAAATAGCGAAACGTCAGTAAAAACAACAATATCGTTTTGTTTTTCATTCATTGGGAAATACAAAAACCTTTATTATAATGATTATTATATACCCCCCAATACCCAAATTTTTTCAAACTGTTAAAAGTGAACTTGGTTTGGATATATATAGTATCTAAGATCTTTCAGTATTAACGAAAGCAAGAAATATATGTTAAATATCTCCTAACACCTTGGTAATCTTAGTTCTACAACCTGTTTTGTTGAAAGTAGGCGAATGGGAAACCAACCATCAAGGTATATTTTGAGCATCAATTACCTAGGTCTTTTTAACTAACTAATATACGATTTGATTTTGTTGTTTTTTGGTGGCTCTCAGTGAAATCTACGATGTGCGTTTCGTCCTGCCTATGACTCATCAACCGCATGTAACTGCAGTATTCCCAGTGAAACTGAACATTTCAGTAAAAATAAAATCAAAATCAACGAATATTTCAAAATAATTAATCGTAATAATTTACAACTCTTTCGTTAAAAGCAGATTCGGGGAAGCAAGTCAGACGTTCACTACACTGAAATCAGAGTGGAAATCTACAACACCTAGTGCTTCGTTTATCGCTTTGCGTTCCCAGTGGAACATAGGGCTTGAACCTAGAGCTCTGAAGTTTCATTAGCAATGGTGTTTACTTTTTATTTTTTATTTGATTGCTAGCCTCATATCCAACCTTTCCCTCTTTGGCAGACTTACTACCAGCTAAGTGGTTTAGGAGTTCACCGACTGGGGTTAGAACCCTGGACAACATGCATGATTGGCGAGCATTCTACAGCTGCACAACACCGGCGCCACAGCACTTAGTACAAGGAATGAAATCTGAATTTTCAGCATTCACGCCAAGTGAGTGCTTATATATAGTGGTATAGTTCAGAGACTTAATTGACGCTTCACCAAAAGCATTTCTGACAGACGTTCGCCAACAGGTGCCTTCGCTGCCTTGATAGAGAAGATCAAGGCGACAAAGGACTGTGGCAGCAAACCAACTAAGAACCTGCTACCCAATAAATATTCCAAAGTAAATGGACATGAGGTTGAATATACGCTTAGCATATAGTTTGAGTGGCACCACACATCAGACCGTCCAGTGAAACCTAAGTGAATGGAAAGCGATTATTTGAGGACTCGAGAGTGATATGGGAGAGATCACGTGATGAGGAGGAAGTGAAAGCTTGTGGGCAGTCGTGGCGCCAGTTGAAAATGATCACACAGAAGGTAATACAATGGGAAGGTGTCGCCGCAGCCTTATGTTCCTCTTGGAACGCAAGGACTGAATAGTGGTGATGAATTCTATGCTGCACTTCATCTCCTTACTTTTCGCCCAAATCAGTTTGAATGTGTTTGTGAGAGATGATTCAAATCAAGTGTAGATTTCCCTCGAGAAATGCGGAGCGATAATTTATAGTCGAACATTCGAATGAATAAACCAAATGTCTGATTACAGAATTTCGCCATGAGCTGACATTGGTTATAGAACCATTGAAAAACCAGGGATTACTTAGTCGACATCTATTTCTTCCTAGTTTAAAACTCTTCATGAGTACGCACCCATCGGGCTAAGCACCCAGGACCTTCCGGTTACAAGGTTAATTCGTAGACCATTCATCCTCTGGGATTTGACAATCCAATGGCGAGACCATGAATTCTTACTCCTAGCAGTTCGTGATTGTTTTGGCGTGACAAGCACCAGCCATTGTCATCGCTGGCAAGTATTTGTCCTCACTCTCGGCCAGATGGACCCCAGTGGTCACGACTTCTCACTAAAACCCAGGTAACTACCTACCTGAATTTTTTTTTATTCCTTTATGTTCCCAGTGGAACGTAGCGCTTCAAGCTAGAGGCTTGAAGTTTCTGTAGCAGTGTTTATTTTTACAGGATGGGGTTGCTAGCTTCATGCCCAACCTTCCCTCTTTGCCAGTTCTATTACTAGCTTAGCGAGGTAAACGAGTGCATCGGTCGGGTATCGGACCTTGGACCATGTGCATGGTCGGCGCGCATCCTAACCGCTGTGCCATCGACTCACTACCTACCTTAATAACACATAAAAATTCAAAACATAGGATTCGTCTAAAACACGTCACTAAATAAAAAGAATCAACAGAATGTATAAACCTCAAATTGTGAGATATCTAAGCTGAGTGTCGTCAAGGGCACTATCACTTAGTGTTAATAAGAAAAACAATAGAGCTGTTTCAAGAACGATCCACAGCCCATAAATAAACAGCGCAGGAATGCACAGATCAAAAATAAAGGGATTCTAATAGACAGTATTAAACACATAGAGAGGAGCATAAGGATTGAAATGTACATATGAAGGCGTTCAACCATAGGAGGATAATTGTTACAAACCAAATAGAATGCTGATACATTAAATGAGATTAATTCCAGTGGAAATCAATGGTTATGGTTACGAAGTAGCGATGTGGTAAACTAAATATAGACTCATACTACTTATTTAGTAGTAAGTAGTATGAATATAAACGCAGATGAAACATAAATAATGAATAGATAAGGTGTTGATCTAACTTAGTGGTATTGCTGTAATTCTTAGTAAGATCATCCCATTCCTCTTTATTCGTTAGCCTAACATCCTACGTCTCCTCATCGTCAGTTTGAAATTTTTAAACTGATGTAGCCTAAAGCGTCATGCCACGTTCAGTAAAGCTGATGAAGTGGAATCTCGATTACACCAGAGAGAGAGAATAAAACCTGTTCTCTTAAGAAGGCATTGATTGATTGATCAAAAACTGTCAAAATTTGAAAGAGGAGGTTTTTCATTTCAAAAAGCCTCCAAGATGATTCAATTCTCAGTCTGATTAAGAGTCCTAATGTAACAGATGTTTATTCGTTCTAGTATACCAGTGACTCCTTTTGAAATGCAGCTACTGTCCCTAGTTCCGAAACTTTTTAATATTTTGACAAGTTCCTACGAAATCAATATATAGTGAAGTGTTTGTTTTCAGTGATTTGACTGGTGACAGGACTTCATCATGAGCTGACATAGGGTAGAGAATCACTGGGAAACCTGGGAGTACTGGACAGCCCGTTGTTTCGTCGGCCTACTTCGGGACTCTACACCATTACGCACCCATCGGAGTGCGAACCTATTGAATGGGCATTTATTC